CGGTCGCCGGAGCAGAGGGTGCCGGAGAACAAGGATCATGGGTCGCCGGTGAAGCCCCAAGAGGAGAAGTAGGCGGAGCCCAGGAGGTCGCGGAGGGAGAAGCGGAGAGATCTGAGGATTTGAGAGAGATGGGGTCTTGAGATAGGGATTTGAGCGGGGAACCAAATAAATTGTGGGGTAATGGAAAAATTTTGCCGACGCTAAACATGCGCCGCCAAATGTATATTTTTTGCGACGAAAAGTTTTGTGTCACTAAAAACTATACTTTTGCCGACGAAATATAGTATCGGCAAAAGTGTTACTTTTAGTGATGCAAAACTATTCGTCGCTAAAAGCTATACATTTTGTCGACGCTAACTTACGTCGCCAAATGTATATTTTTTTACGACAAAAAGTTTTGCGTCGCAAAGCTATACTTTTGTCGACGCTAAGTTAAAACGTCGTAAATAATATACACTTTTAGAGACGCTAATTATATACAAGGGGAAAAATATATGTTTTGCCGACGCTAACTAAAATCGTAAGGAAAAATATTTTTGCCGACGTATCTAACCATACGTCGAGAATAAGCGTCGGGAAAAGTGCAATTTGTTGTAGTGACGCCCAATTTCCAACAGTTTTGACATGGAAGACTAGATTTTTTGTCATGGCTATTACAGACTTGCTGTCACAATAGAAAGTAATCGGTGACTCTTGGTCTTGTTGTAAATCAGATAAAATCCTTCGAAGCGATACTGTTTTCACTAGTACAAAACAGGACAGTCCAAACGGTTGGAACCTTTTGGGAAAACACTGTTCCAAACAGTTACAACCGTTTGGACAAAAAAAACCGTTTGGGCTGAAGTCGTTGGGGATGAGTCTGCCCCAACGGCGGCCCAAACGGTTATACCCGTTTGGACAAAAGCCCAAACGGTTACAACCGTTTGGACAGTATCCCAAACGGTTATAACCGTCTGGGATTTCAATAATTTCCAAACGGTTTTAACTGTTTGGCCAGAAACTTGACCAAACGGTTGAAACCGTTTGGACAAGTTTCTGACCAAACAATTGAAACCGTTTGGCTAGATATTTGGCCAAACAGTTAAAACCGTTTAGGTTGACAACTGGCCAAACGGTTTCAACCATTTGGCCTGTTAATTTTAATATTTTTTTTTTAATTTTAGTTATTTTATTTATCTACCTGCTTACATTTAATATACACATCTCACACAATGATTACTCAATATCTCACAATGAAATAAAAAACATATACATACACAAAAAATTTCTCAGGCGGTGCTAAAAAATAATTTATGTAATTTTGGCTATTTTATTTATCTACCTGCTTACATTTAATATATACATCTCACACAATGATTACTCAATATCTCGCAATGAAATCAAAAACATATACATACGCAAAAATGTCTCAAGTGGTGCTAAAAAATGATTTTATTTATTTCCTCGCTTTTTTGAGCTGAATCTGAGCTGGATGCTTAGAGACTTTGATCTTCATCTTCACCCCCAAACCCAAACTCATTATCAAGAAAATGACATGCTTCTTATCTACTGGATATACCCATCTCTGATATAAATATATCAAGAAAATGACATCTGCATCACCCGAAAAAGAAAGATAAAAAAAGACCATTAGTAAGAATATCATTAAATTATTGATATAATGAAATTGAGAAATGAAACATGAATCCACCATCACGGAAAACTGAGACGCGATTGGCATTTTAGGCTACAGTACATTTTAGGCACCATATGTACTCAAAATTAAACAGTCTACGAACTTGCAGCTCTGGAGCCTACAAATTCCGTAAACTAGGGAACGGTCCTAACAAAGAGGTAGACTGTTGAAATTTCATAAGCAAACACTATTGTCCCCAACTTTCAGTAAGCCAATCTGCCAATTGGAATCAAAATTTAAACTTATAGGCTATTGGGTGAATATTTCCCCATATATATCAAAATAACTATAAAGCATAGCCTGCTATGGGCCTACTATACAGAAGTTAGAAAGCCATGTGTGTGTGTGTGTCTGTGCGTGCGTCCGTGCGTGTGTGAAAGCTTACATATGTGCATATATGTGTGTGTACGCGCACGCGCGTGCATCTGTGTGTGTCTTTGTATCTGTTTGTGTAGGCGTGTGTGTGTGTGTGTTTGTGTGAAAGCTTACATATGTGCATATATGTGTGTGTGTGTGCGCGCGCACACGCTCATGCGTGTGTCTGTGTGTGTGCGTGCTTGCGTGTCTCTGTCTGTGTGTAATAAAAATAATTTAGAATGACAAGTGGTCATGGGCCCTATGACTGTATGACAATTAAATTTTAAACATAAATGTTTAGGAACTGCTTTGAATCATAGAACTTCAAGAATACACATACCACTGTAACACTTCCATATATGGATAGACCATACAAGGCTGATAACAAGAATAGAAGACTATACTATCAAACTTTTCCTTCTCAAAAGCCTAAGCCTTGACAAGACAAGCAATTAAGCATACTGCCCATTCCTCTTGTAAAACTCAGCCTGCCACTAGTGAAATGTGAGATTGCAAGTAGTATATCATGTAGTTTAACTTAGCTTGTACATAAAAAGCATATGTCTAATGGAATAGTCCACAGTTCTAAGCTAAAGAAACACATTTCCAAATAAATAGTAGCTACTCGTGCAAGCTCAAAAAGTTGTCCACAGTTCTAAGCTAAAGAAACACATTTCCAAATAAATAGTAGCTACTCGTGCAAGCTCAAAAAGTTAGCAACATTGAACAGTTTTATAATCGCATTTCCAAATAAATAGTAGCTACTCGTGCAAGCTCAAAAAGTTAGCAACATTGAACAGTTTTATAATCGCAAAATCATTTGCATAATGAGGGACAGGAAAGGTGGTCAAACTAGAGTTGACTCCTTCTAAACATCACAATCTGGCATAAGCTAACATCTTTATTTTCTGAATTATTTACTTCCGGTAAATTTAAACTGCACCTCATACCTTAAGTTCATCAGCCTCGCCTTCAAGCATACTTTCGTAACTTCAGTGAACCTGGAAGGACTGCCTAACCTGGAAGCACCCTAGTCACCGAAACTTCATCTTCATCCCCTTTTTGGTTGCCCGACAAGCTCTTCCTTTTATCTGCTTTTGACTTGGGTAGGTATGCCACAACAGCTGCAAAAAAACTAAAGTTTAACTAGATTTTCCAAATTAATATACATTGCAAAATTGGCATAAGTGTTCTGGAAATAAAATTCAGATTACTATATTGACATCATTTATAAATCGTACAATGTGTTCTTCCAAATGTAGCTCCTGGCTGATATTCAGGATCGCTAGGATCTGGAGGGTAACCCGAGCGAGCAAAGAAAACATGAGCATAGAGGTTCCCATTGTGTTTAACAGCCTGGAATACTGAATTGTTTCATGAATTGAAAATTTAAACAAAAAGGACGAGTAATTAGAACTTTCTGTTTATAAATTGGAATAAAAGTTAAGGAAAATATTTAATGATACCTCTGATGGTTTGTATTTCAATGAAAGAGATCAGCTACTACTTGGTCCCCAAACTGCATATGGAATATTTGTCTCTTGCCATATGAGAGCATTCTCATTGCCGAAGTCATTAAAATTATCCTTTTCAGAAAGATATAACCACATATCCTAGAAAAGACAGCAAGACTCACGTATCAACACTGGAATCTCGTTCATACACAACGGAAGTAACACCCATTGAAATTGAAACAAAAAATGCTGGTAGAAGAAAATCAAGTATGGAAATGATTGGTAATTGCTAAATGCAGATAAAATATGAAAAAAAATGCTGGTAGAAGAAAATCAAGTATGGAAATGATTGGTAATTGCTAAATGCAGATAAAATATGAAACAAAATACTGGAATCAAGTATGGAAATGATTGGTAATTGCTAAATGCAGATAAAATATGAAACAAAATACTGGAAAGAATATATACAACAAGGAATCCAAACTTCAAGAAAGCTTAGAAATATCATGCACATTGTTATAGAAAATGTAAGAAGATGCCTAAAATCAAAAGTCATCACCATTTATTCAGTCAGGGGATTAATTTAGCACGCCTACATCCTCAATTCTCACCTTAACGTGCTATTTCCTCCTCGTTAGGCACATGGAATTGCTCTTGCTGAAGCCTTTGGGTTTTGAAGACTTGTATGCTCCAATCCTTTGCTGGGTACTTAGGATTTTAGCTTCTGTGTTTAATTCTCCTGAGTTTTTGTGCAGAGCTCTCAATTTCTTCATTTGCTCTAATTACAATTCTAAATCTTTGTGATATACTGTTCTATTTCTAGTTTAGGGTCATAAATTCTGTTGCTTTAGGTTTTTAGTGAACTAGTTGCCCTTCTTCTTTGCAGTCCTGCTGGCCTTCTTCTTTGCAGATATAGATAATACTGCATTTGTAATTTTGTATTGAAAGTTTGTTTTCTAGCAATGTATATAGAGGCTTCTGTCAGTATTGTACAGAATGTTAAATGCAAGATCTGTGTTAAGTGAAACAGAAAACGCATCAAATTTGACATAAGGAAATCTCACGAGTCTCTTATACCTTGATGAACTCCTGATCAAACACTGCTTCCGCCTCAAAATCCGGCGCCGTGTTTCCAACCAACGGAAGCTCGCTCTGCAAACAAGAACCCTAATTTCTAACCAAGCACACTGAAACGATCAAAATAAAATCCTATAAAATCGACAGGACGGGCTCGAGACTGCACACAGCAGTGACAGCGAAACTTCTCCTCGAAGAATCTCTCCTCGATGCCGCGAATCGAAGGTCGTTGGGTCCACCGATGCTCTGGGGAGCCGCTAGGGTTTGAGAGAAGGAAGCGAGAGCGCCGGAGAATCGATGGAGCAGGACGAGGATGCGGTGAATCGATGGAGGCGGCGGAGGAGCAAGAGCGCCGGTGAAGATGAGGCGGAGGTGCGTTGGCCATCGAAGATGAGGCAGAGGCGAAGATGAGGGGTAGATGAGGGAGGTGGAGGCGGATTTGAGAAGGTGTGGTGAAACTTTTGGGGGTGAAATATTTGGCGGTGGGTGAAAATTTTGGGGATGAAATATTTGGCGGTGGGTCAAAATGTTGGGGAAAACAGATCAGAAAAACTTTTAATTTAAAAAAAAAAATCGGCTAAATACCCATATTGGTATTTTAATTCAACCCCATTTCCCAACAAGGTATTTTAATTAGGAAATTCGGCGATAAGACATTTTAATTGAATAAAAGTACCATTTAGGTCCTTTTTCTCGTCGGCGGCCACTTTTCCGGTGAAAACTCATCACGTGCGTTGCACGTGGGGGATTAATATGTGTTTAAGATGCTGATGTGGCTCTGTATTCTGACGTGGCAGGGAATTAACCTCTAAAAACCAATTCCCCCCAAAATAGGACATATTCCCCCTTTCGTTTTCAGAAATTGTGCGCGAGATAGAGGGAGAAATAGAGAGTGAGCCATCATCGTTGAGGCAGTTGAAGGCAGAGATTTCAACTGATGGTGTTCCTTGGTGCATGCATTAGGTGATTTGCGGAGGACGACGAGTTGGTACGGGTTGACAGGAATGTGAAGGTTTGATTCTCATTATACCTATGAAATCTTTTGGTGGCTTTGAAGAGGATAAGTTAATCACGTATTTAGTTTGAGTTAAATGTAAGATTAACCTAAAATTTGTTGCATTTTGTTAGATTTGATAGAATTAGGGTTTTCAAAGTTGTGGTTTTTTTCCAAATAATGGGTTGAATTTGATAGAATTATTATCATTTTTCGTAAATTATGCAGATGGCTAAGCAAATTATGATTAAATATAGACATGGGGGGACATTGGACTTCGGAAGTAATGTGGCATACATTGGTGGTTCAGTTGATGTTGAGTTTTGTGATGCAGAAGATATTTCATTAGAACAATTGAAGATGAGTGTTACAGAATATGGTTATAACAATGTCGGGATGTTGTATTATTCTATTCCTAGTGTAGGACTGGCTAGTGGAGGTTTAAAGCCTCTAAATTCAGATCAGGATCTTGCAGAAATGATTGAGCATGCATTGAGGCACAGAGTGATAGAAATCTATGCAAATCACGATGTTGACATGCCATTAGAAGTGATAGAAGGTCCTACTTCAGTTGCTACTTCTCCTAAAAGAAATATTCCTATGGTTAGGAGAAAGAAGTTAACACCCAAGAAAAGAGTAGATGTAAAAGAGGGCCAAGTGAGTGTTTCAAACCCTACTATTTCACCACTGTGGGTTCCCTCCAAATCACCACTGCCCAGTCCCTCCAATTCACCCCCTCACAAATCTGCACAAACATCTTCTAGTGATGATGATGATGACTCAGTGGAGGATGAAAATTCCAGGGTTGATCCCACAGAGCCATTGTATGATGATGATGGTGAAGATAAGGAATTATTTTGATGAGTTTAGTGCAAAGAATAGATCAAGAAAGGGAAAGCAAATAATGGAAACAGATAAAAATGTAGATGAGAATGATGGTGGAGACATAGACTCAGCAGAATCTGAAGAGGTCGAGAGTCATAAGAGCCCAGTAGGAAGTGATGATGATGAGTTGTTTGAAATAAGGCAAAGAAATAAGAAAATTTTAGAGGAGGAGAAGGGTAGAATAGCATTTAATGCTGGGGCAAGATTGGTAGATGATGTAGATGGTCCCCCTCCTACAGTTAATGAAGCACAACCTGAACCACAACCACAACAAGCTAATGAAGTCAACACCAGTTCCACCCCTATTCATGATACAGATGCTGGTAATATCCCATCACATATTGAAGAATCGCATATGTCACATATTGTGGGATTGAATGTAGTAGGTCCAAACTCTAGAGGCACAATCCCTAAAACTCAAAACTGGCCTAGTTTTTGGACATATTATGAAGGAGGCTATCAGAGTGATCAAAGAAGCAGTAATGATGAGGAACCATTGTTTGACAGTGATCATGAAGCACCTGAGATCAATATGAAAAAGAAAAAAAAAGAAAGAGTGAACTACAAGTATTTCAATGAGAGAGTGGATATGAAAGCTGTGCATTTTGAGCCAGGTATGCACTGCAATAATTACTTCATTGTGTTGTCTTAATTATACATCATTGTCAAAACTAATCATTTGTGTTTAATTTTTTTTTCAGGGTTAAAGTTTACTTCTAGGAGTGTGTTAAAGGAGGCTATTCTAAATTATTCTATTCAACAGCACTATGATCTAGTGTACATGAAGAATGACACTAAGAGGATTCACATGGGTTGTTCACTTTGCTTTTGGCAGATGACTGCTGGTCCAGATTGTCATGAGGCTGGTGTTTGGCAAATAAAATTTATTAATCATGATCATACTTGCTGCAGGACTTTTAAAAATAGATTAATAACTGATAACTGGATTGCACATGTTTATCTTGATAAAATTCTGAGGGATCCAAAGATGAAGCCAAGTAACATTGTATCTGACATTTATGAGAATTTTCAAATTAATGTCACATTGAAAAAATGTAGGAGGGGGAAGGAGAAAGCTCTAAATGCAGTCCAAGGATTAATGCAAAGACAATATGGCTTGCTAAAACCTTACATGAAAGAACTAATGAGGTCAAATGTAGGTACTACTTGTGTTCTGAAGGTGGCTGAGGGAGAGGCAGGACAACCAAGCACATTCCTTAGATTTTACGTTTGTTTTGAAGCATTGAAGATGGGTTTCACTTTGGGGTGTAGAAGAATATTTGGTCTTGATGGTTATTTTCTGAAACATGCTTGTGGAGGGCAATTACTTTGTGCAGTGGTTGAGGGGGAGACAAGGAACTCATGGCAATGGTTCCTAAGAATTTTGACTGTGGATCTAAACATGAATGATGGTAATGGTTGGACAGTTGTGTCAGACCAACAAAAGGTTTGTGCAATGCTATCTTTATTTCAAATTTTTCTTTCATGAACTCATTGTGATTAACTCAAAGTTTGCTTTCATGATCTCAAATTTTCCTCCTACTATGCATTTCAGGGATTGGTTCCTGCTATACATGAAGTGTGGCCAGCAGTTGAGCATAGGCAATGTGCTAGGCACATTTATTCTAATTGGAGGAAAATTCATAGTGGGAGGGTCCTGCAAAGTCAATTCTGGAAATGTGTTAAAGCCACCTCTATGCCAATTTTTCAAACTGAAGCTGCCAAGCTAAGGATAATTTCAGAGCAAGCTTATGAAGACTTCATGGCTAGAGACCCCAACACATTCTGTAAGTCTCATTTCAAATGTCACAGTAAATGTGATGTTGTAGACAACAACATGGCAGAAACATTCAACTCTTTTATATTACTTGCAAGATATAAACCTATAGTGTCCATGTTAGAGGATATTAGATTATCTATAATGGATAGAATGCAAGAGAAAAAGAAACTGGTGAGTAAATTTGTGGGGGGAGTTGCACCTAGAATTCATAAGAAGTTGGAGGAAGCATATCAGGAGCAAGTTCATTGCCGTGCCCATTGGAATGGTGATGAGAATGAAACTGGTTTTGAGATAATCCATAGAGGGCAAAGTCATGCAGTGGATTTGAAAAATATGACATGTACATGTAGGAATTGGGACTTGACAGGAATACCATGCCCACATGCAGTCAGTGCTATCTTACTTATGAGAAGGAAACCTGAAATTTACTTATCAGAGATGTATTCTCAAGAAAACTATTTGATTGCCTATGGAGGAATGTTAAATCCAGTACAAGGGAGTAATTATTGGGATACAGAGGGAGAGGGAATGGTGTTACCCCCAAATATTATTAGAAGGCCAAAGGGGAGACCCAAAACTGCTAGGAGGAGAGACCCATCTGAAGGTTCCAAGCATCCTTCTAGGTCATCAAGGCAGGGATTAATACAAAAGTGTAGCAATTGTCACAGAACAGGGCATAGAAGACCCAGTTGTCCTGATGCAGCAACAAATCCTCCCAGGCCAGCACATCAACAGGTATTGTAATGCCAATTATTTAGATATCTTTAATAATCTCATATGCAATCGTATTATCTAATTTCTCCATTGATTTACTTCTAGGAAAATCAATCTCAAGTTCTTGATGAAGGCACAAGTGGAAGGAAGAAAAGAGGAAGACCAAAGGGGAGCAAAACCAGACCTAACATTTCCATTGAAGAGCATAGTCAAACTAACACTCTTCCACCATCTCAAGTTTTCATAAATAAAAGATCAATGGCTAGAGGTAATGAACAATACATACTCATTGTGCACCAAGTTTTCATATAGATGCTTATTGATGCACTGAATTTGTTATGTATTCTCTAAGATCAATCTCAAAATGCTAGAGGAAGGAGTGATATGCGACGGGGCCGAGGCAAAGGAAGAAATAATGCAGTCATTATGCCAGAGGGTTTTGGCCTATGGCATGGTGATCATGGTGAAGTAGCTTATAGAGACCCAAGTGCCTCTCAAGCAACAATCATACAGGAATCAACTCCAATTTCAACCCAGGATGTACACCAAGAGGAGCATACACAGGCTTCATGTGCACATAATAGTGGGTTGTAATTATATGTAATTATATGTAATTATAGTTTAGCTTTTGGTAATATATAGACTTGAGGTAGTTGAATGACTTTTTACTTGTTGCTGGTTATTGTAATCATGACAAACACATGACAGTCAAAGAGTGACTAATGTAGTTTGGCTTTTGGTTTGTATGTTGATTGTGCAATGTGATTATGAGCTTCTGTACATGAACTTAAGCTTGGAGTTACTGGTTAGTATGTTGATTGTGCAATGTGATTATGAGCTTCTGTGCAAGAACTTAATTCATGAATACAGGGCAATGTGATTATGAGCTTCTGTACATATAGAACTTAAGCTTGGAGTTACTGGTTTTTACGTTTGATTGTGCAATGTGATTATGAGCTTCTGTGCATGAACTCCCTTAAGCTTGTGAGTATGCTTTGTCACAGGAAAACTATATTTGACAGGTTCACTCACAAAGATAATACATGAATACAGGGTATTTAGCATGACAAATTTTTCTCATAAACAGTGACAAATTTTTCATGTCCTGATGCTTCTTCTCATTTAATTCATAAGTTCATACAATATGCTCTTAAACATTACATATCCATGTCCATAAACCAAAAAAAACACACAATAAAAAAGACTACAAACAAAAGTGATATCAAACTTCCTCTCTTCAGCAACATCATCCTCCTCTTCTCCAATTGAAGCAAACCCTCTAATCTGAAACTCTCATCTCTCAATTTTGATATTTCTTCCAAAGAGCAAGCGTTCTCATCGTATAAAACCTGGAGCTGGTCTCTGAAATTGGCATTTTCAACATGGCAATCCTTCACTTCGGCCTCAACTCTTTGAATCTGCCTATCCCTGAGCTTCAATTCACTCCTCAAGTTAAGTATTTCATCTCGTAGAATAGGAAATAGAGTAGAAGACACATTGCAGAGAGGTCTATCGAACCATTCCCACATTCCACAGCCACCATTAGGATTCTGACATTTATAAAACCTTCTCCCAGGATTTTCATCTGTAAATGATGTATAATACCCACAATCCATTCTACACTTACAGATTTTCATGCCAACCGTCCTTGCTTCCTCGTTCCACCTTCTAATACCTGCCAAAGAATTCAAACCATGATTATTACTTACATGCGATCCCAATTTTCCACTCACCCTGCTTGCTTTAGAACGAGAGCTTGAACTTGATGCCGATGACATAGCTTCTTCTCTTCCAATGGCCCGCTGTCATAAACCCTAATTCCCAATTTCCCCTAATTCGATCCCTCTTTTATTCTCCCTGCCACGTCAGAATAGAGAGCCACATCAGCATCTTAAACACATATTAATCCCCCACGTGCAACGCACGTGATGAGTTTTCGCCGGAAAAGTGGCCGCCGACGAGAAAAAGGACCTAAATGGTACTTTTATTCAATTAAAATGTCTTATCGCCGAATTTCCTAATTAAAATACCTTGTTGGGAAATGGGGTTGAATTAAAATACCAATATGGGTATTTAGCCAAAAAAAATCTAACATAACTCCCAAACGGTTTTAACCGTTTGGGCTAAAGATATCCCAAACGAATTAAACCGTTTGGGTTCTTTCTTTGGGATTTTTTAATAGCTTAAACAATTTTAACCGTTTGGGTTCATTATCCCAAACGGTTAAAACCGTTTGGGCTATTTCGACTTGTCCAAACGGTTGTGATAACCGTTTGGACTGTGCTATTTTGTACTAGTGTAATTTGCACGCAGCATTTGGGGTTGAAATATATACTCTGCTTCTGGGGATGAGAGGACTATGATCTGTTGTTTATTTTAGGTCCATGATATTACCTTAGATCCTGGAGTGGAGACATATCCTAGAGTGACGTCATAAAATGGTTTTCTTCCAATCCAGGGACCTGACCTCCATCCTCGAACAGAACCAGCCCAAAACATCAATTGAGGATCACCATGGAGGTCAAGGGCTAATGTGTATATGCCATTTGACTGAAAGACTAAAACATAAATGAATATATATGCTCGAACATGGTTGTAAGCGGACTAGTACGTAGAGAGAGAGAGAGTTAAAACAAAAGGCAGGCATTAGTCACCACCAACTTGCACATTTCCTCATCAGTACTCCACTGGCAGAAGCTTGACAATCGACAAGGTGGTTAATTTCCAGGTGCAGGCTCAGTGAAGAGTAACAAGTGGATAGAGCTACGTACGAGGGTGAACAATTTGCGGACATGATTTCGTTCCAAGAGCGTACACTTTTTCAAAAAGGGAACGCGCACAAGATAAGTAAAAATTATATTAGAAAAAGTACATTGCAACCAACGAATACAATTGTAACTGCAGTTGCAAAAAGTCCTCCAATTTCAGCCAATAATACAAGCAGATTTGACGTAATTCTCAGTAATAATTAATCTTTTTCAAACTACTAATATAAATATAAATTACAAAACTTTAAAACTGAATAATGCATGGTACAAGACAAGACAACTTGGAATAAAAGTCATACCATAATTAACCACTAATAGGGTTTACGGGTATCACCCACTAACAGACCCGTGTAACAAACACTGTAACAACTATCTACCTAAAGACATAGTAAGCGTTAGACCGTTTATACTAGAGCTTTCCTTCACTAGAGGCTGACTCTCTGTAGGAGATACCCTTGCCATAAAACCAGGTTGTTTAGGCTCTGGCAGAAAAGCATGATCACTGCCTAACATCAAAACAACGGATGGCATGATCGGTCTATCCTCTGGTTGCTCTTGGACACAAAGAAGCCCCACTTTCATGCATCTTAGAATTTCAGTCATAAAAACTGAGGCATCCAATGACGCATCAATTAGTTGCAAGCCGTTACCCTCTTTCCACAATGTCCATGCCTGGAAGAATTAAAACCAGAAATAAGCCATGTATCGACAATAATTAGATGTAGCTAATTGTACTTACCTTTCCTAAGAGATATTCCTCGGCCGCAGAGAGATATACCCCTTTATTTCTCCTTCCACTAATAATTTCTAACACTAAAACCCCAAAACTGAATACATCGGATTTCACTGAGAAGATCCCATTCAATGCATACTCTGGAGGCATGTAACCACTACATTCAATCAAACACTAAATTAGGTATTGCGCTAACTGAAACTAAGTTGAACAATCACCATCAAAGATGGATATCTCTTACTATGTCCCGACTACTCTCCTTGTCTGTGTTTCCGTCTCATCTTCTCCAAAAAGTCTGGCCAAACCAAAGTCTGATATTTTGGGAATCATATCTTTATCGAGAAGGATGTTTCCAGCTTTAAGGTCCCTATGGATGATTCTTAATCTCGAATCTTGGTGAAGATAGAGAAGTCCTCGTGCAATTCCTAAAATGATCTGGTAACGCATTCTCCAATCCAATAATGCCACTTTTTCTTCATCTGAGCAAAATCTCATCGAAGTTAGAAATACCAAGACTAAACGGTGTGTGGTCGTCTTTAGAAATAAAGCTTTCCAGAAAACATCATTTCTAATCTTCTCAATTTGAAACGTAATGTTTTTGTATGCAACTAAAAGGAAATGATGCATGATATCCATTTATGCAAATAAAATGTGATTGAAAGGTAGGAAACTAAAAAGTGGTAAAGTACTAAAATAAAAATCATTTGAGCTATGCCTTTAAGTTGTATGTGAATAGGTATGGGTACCAGTACGGGTGCAAGTGCGGCCGCGAGATATGGAAAAAATGTAAAATGGACTGTACGAGGACACGGCTACATATATGTATTGAAATTAATAATTTACATGAGATCATTACAATTCCTATCACATTTAAGTTTCTTTTATTATGTTATCTTTTATAAATTAGAAACTACTTGCTTTTGAACTAAACACCTCCTTTAAAATCATAATTTTTAACCTGGATATATACTGAAATGAACTCGACTCAGGTCTAAAAAGTTTTAAGAAATGGATGTGAAGTATAGGATATACCCCCAAGAAGTGTTTCAAACTATACATACATCATATAATTGAGTAAATGTCTAAATAAATGTATGCATATATCCATGGAGTGTCCATGATATTTGAGTACAGCTACGTATTAGGTACATGTCCAATACGCGTACGAGTTCATGACAGAAATACTTAGGAAACTTCAAGAAGAATCAACTTGAAGACATAGCGGACCCGTCTAGCTAGGATTTTATAGAGCAAGACTAGGTTTTAGATTAAAAGCTAATACACATTTCAGTGTTGTTTATAGTTATCAACCAAATAAATCAGCCTAAAAAATCCATAGCTAGAGATCCTCCCATTTGTCCTTGTCTTTCCACTAATCAAAACCATCAATACTAGCGTTCAAATCCAAGACTCCATATGATAAAGGAAGATTATCTAACTGGGATTTGATGATGTACAACTGTGATTAAAGTAGAAGTCATATATATTCTCCATATAATTTTGACCCGACAACTAATCAACCAACCTAGAAAAATGGATTCTTCCAGAGTCCAATAGTTAAAAAGATCTTATTTTCCCTTGCCTCCTCACTCATCATCCAAATGCCCAAATGACAAAAGACAACTATTAAGATTATTGATTGGAGATTAGAGTGAACAAGCATCACAATCTATAAATTCTTTGACATAAAACAAAGGTATGACATCTAACGTTAAATATAAATTATGTGTCATATAAATTGCAAGATTCAGATTTTTAAGTTTTGTAGGTTACTATGTTATTATGATTAAGACAAATGTCAAAACATACATCAAGAGACATTAGCCCTAATGTCCATTTTGTAATTATATGGTGCTCTGCATATTCAGGAGGCGCAGTTGTTACCACCGATCTTCAATAATAGAATTTCTTGTGTGCTCACAATTGGTTAATAGTTGAAATTTGAATCACTTTGTGCACCTATTCACACACATATCGGTTCACGTGCATCTAAGTTACTCAGATATCCGTTTTGGATGCATATCCGTGCCAAACATGTGTCGAACACGGGTTCACCACAGACATGCCATGTACAATCCGTTTTGGATGCATATCCGTGCCAAACATGTGTCGAACACGGGTTCACCACAGACATGCCATGTACACGTGGTTCAAAGCAAAACTTGATTTCCCACATGTGTCGAACACGGGTTCACCACAGACATGCCATGTACACGTGGTTCAAAGCAAAACTTGATTTCCCTGTTACTTATAACCCTAAACTATTTTCT